TTTTTTTTTTTTTTTTGCACGTTTCACGTTTCTTACTAGTTGCGGCGAGATACGCATCTGTATTTGAATGTGAAACTCACTTAATAGGTTGTATTTTGGCACATCTCAGAGCTAGACAAGACGATTTAATTTGCTAAGTCTCGCTTCTGCAGCTACATGTAATTTTCCTCTCCTGCTAAAAGTCCTTTGGAAACCCTGCAAAAATGTAATGAATATGCAAAGCAGCCAGCTCTCAAATCCGAATCCGGTTTGTCTTCAGAGACTTTTCAAAACGCCCAAAGTGATGAAGATATATTATGAAATAATCACTTTTGCCTAAAATACAGGAATGTGATGTTTCGTACTTTCTCCTCGTGCGTGTTCCTAATTTAATTGGTGACAGCTCAAATATAATTCACCTGAAATAAAAATCTCTAAAAATCAGTTAGGGTTGCTCAATTGCTCTTACTTCTAACACAACCTTAAAAAGCAGGAAATCTGCCAGTGAAGTCCTTGCCCCTCTGCTTACACCCCCCAGCTCCCAAGTTTTCCTTCTCCCAATACTTCACCCACATCCACCACCTCCTTACTGCAGCCGCCTGTCTTCCTGCCACCTCTGGGAAATGTGCAGCTTTGAACTGAGACCAGGGAGAATGGGAAGAAATGGGTGTTTTCCCATGGTTAAAGATGTTGAGCTGGGCTGCTTGCTGCTGCCGCCACCGGTTGTCTTGATAGTGGGAGTCGGTTGCAGGACCAGGTTGTGATTCCTGCACTGATTGTTGACAAATATTTAGTAGTGCTGTGTGGTGTTTCTGTGGTTTTTGTTTTCCTTTTTCCTAGGAGTTATGTTTGTGATCAGAGTTAAGGTGACATCCAGCATTTGGAGAGGAGGGCATGGCGTATGGGGTGATAGGCTGTGGATGTGAATGAGGTAATGTGGAAAATGAGGATGCATGGTTGTGGGTTGCAAAGGCTGAGTGAAAATCTAACTTGTGATTTCCTGATTCTTCCATGGCTGTAAAAGAATGCCATGTTGCATGTATGTTAAACAGCTTTTTCTGTTATGGGGAATTTCCTAGTTGCTTTTACATTTTTCACATACAGAACAAAGACAGCTGCTCTTCCCTGTGTGTTCCCACACTCCTCACTGCTATGGACGATAAGCAAAGAAGGGGGAAGAAGGAGCAGCTCAGCTGCCATTGCCACGTTCACTTATTCCCGCAGACCTTCCCATGCCAGCTTCGCGTTCCCGCCTTTTGCCGCAAAAGAGTTTGCAGTTGGTCATACCTTAGAAGATCTACTTGCTTGCTCCTTGAGGCAGTAGATCATTCTGGTTAGCTTCTTAGGGTTTGCCAGAGGACATTAGTAGGCTGTTATCCTGAACCAGGGTTGTTTGGGATCACAGATTAGAAAGCCTAAGACTTATTGAGCAGGCTGTGGAAGAGGGGTAATGCACATGGTGCCCCAGGGTCTTACCCGAGATGCTCTCCCTGGTGAGGAGCACACACAAGTCTCCTGGCTGTGAGCTCACCCCATGTCTTCTCATTGCGTAACTTCTTCTCGTGCTCACCCTTTGCCCCACAAGCACGGTCCCTGCTGCACTGAGGAATGAGAACAGCAGTGGTGGGAAGCAGCACTTTACATCTCTTAGATGCAGTTTAAAGGTCACCTGAAAGTTGTATGGCACTGAGACTTGAGTGGGTGTGCTAAGGCTTTGCCAGAGTCGGGTAGGTAAGCAGATCCGGGCAGCAAGAGCGATGCTGCGTCTCCTTCGGGTTAATGGTCTCTTTCCAATTCTAGCAGTCCTGCGCTGCTTTCTTGGCAAACCTTGCTTGTCCTCCTCCTAAGCCTCATCTCACTCCTCCCGGTTGACTAGCTTACCTGCTTTCCTGGCTTTGTAGGCTGTGAACTGAGCCGAACCAGTGGAGCGGACCAGTAATATCTGGAAAAGCAGTGTAGCTGGCAGCGTGGCAAGGCTGTCTCGGAAAGGGGAGGGAGCCTTCCCCTTATAAAAGTTTAGAAATACTTGGGATGTTGTTGAGGTGAGTGCAGAAGGAACTCGGTTTAACGAGAGGAGAAACGAGGTCAAAAGGAGCAGTGTTTGAAAATGTCTTCTCTGCAGAAACTGGTAGCAATCTGAAATGGAAAATTTGCGTGGCCCTCTCAGGAGTTACTGTACTAAATTGGGAAAACAGAATCAGTCTTTAAAGTACAAAACAAAGGGATTTCGGTCTTGCTTTAAATGCAAATGTCAACGCAGTCTGAACTGTGGACTTGCTACTGACGCCTCCATAGTACATATTAATCCAGTTTTATCTGTCATGAGGAGATTTGTTGATTAGAAGCCTCTAGGTAAAGGCTGCTCATGGACTGTTGCTGCTCTTCCAGCCTGTGGGCTGGAAAAATGAGCTCTGTGCCTTGCCTGGAGCTCTTGGGCTGTGTGTAATTTCACTGCTGCTGTCCTCCCAGGATTCAATTTAACTCTCTGCACAAAGTTCATTTATGGAGATTTATGTAGATTTTTGTGCTAAGACAGATGACTTTTCAGAGCAAACGGGTATTCTTGTAACAGTCACGTAAGTTAATTTGTGGTATTGATGGTAGAAAGTCAACATCATTTGAAATGGGAGGATAGGAACAGTTTACTGAAATGCCACTAAAACATAACCTGTTAGTTTTGTTTGTCTTGTCAAAGTTTGTACAGAATGGGAGGATTTTTCTAAGAACTTCTGTGAAGTAATGACAATTTTTAAAATACTGAATTATGTACCATTTAAAGGATTATTTTAAGTGATTTTCCTCATTTTCCTTGTTGCTGCTCACGTATTTGTGTGTAGACAGTACTTAATTGTTTTTCTTTTCTGCAATTAGCTATTATTTTTGAAAACTAAACTGTATCTCTGAGATACGTAGCTCTTAAATGTTTCCAGTTTCAGCCAGAGTTCCAAAGTGTGCAGTTTATTAGCTTGAGCTCACCAGCAGCTCCTTGAGGTGGCTGCTCAGATCTAAATGGCTATTGCTGTCCATTATGTTTTACAAATACCAGCATACAAAGAATAAGTGCAGCAGTGGTTTTGTTTTTTGTATTTTCTTGGGTTTTTCCAGGGGTTTTCTTCCTGAAGGGATTGTTTCTAAGTATCCTGTTGCTGCCACATACATTTTTTTTTTTAAAGTTTCTGTTGGCCTCCTAACTGTATTTTTCTCTAGAAGAGTTTAATCAAAGGTTTGTAGCAAAAGCCTGATCTTTCAAGTGCCTCCAGAATGGAAGTTGAGTTCCATTTGTTACATCTGTACGTTCAATTTGAGCTGATGAAGATAAAGCAGATATTGTTAAAAAAACCCAACAAAAAAGAAACAAAAAACCCCAAAAAAACCAAAACCCACACACCAATGTGCAAAAGTGCATATTGTAAAAAATAACTTGTGCCTTAGTTTTACTTTTGATTACCAGTCTCCTAGTGCCCCTAAGCATACATATATTCCTGTGTCAGAGTTTGGGGGGAGGGGGTTGCACATTATTAAAATAGTTTCCCCCCAATGTGTGCAAGTTGTTCTGTAAGTGCTGATTTTTAGGTTACTAGTGTGGGGTTTTTTTAAGTGCAATGTGATAGTAGAGCCACAGTAATGTTAGCAGGCCAGCTCCATGTTTTAGTTCTGTTACTTTCCCAACCAACTATAAATTACACGCTTTAGACCTTATTGATTGGTGGTTTAGCTTAATACAGTAATACTGGAAATTATCCGCTTGTAGTTGTGAAAGCCATCGTAGAGTGAAGAGGTGTGTCTGTGTGAGATCTTAGAATTCTCTGAAGAGTTTATTATTTGCAGGATAACTGTGGATAACGGGTTTTATGAAGTTGAAACTTGTGCACGTGTTTTTTCTGCAGCCGTAAGGGTAGAACGCTGCTGCAATTTGTCTGTTGGCAGCCCTTAGAGTGCGATTGCTGTATTGCTGAATGGTATTTCATGTCACAAGTATCAATGGTGTGCAGGCCTGTTAGAAAATGGAATGGGCAGGTGAATTCAGAATAACGTTTTTAAGCTATATGTGTTGGAATCCAGCAGTATTTTTGCTTTGTCTGCAGGTGTTGCTGCCATAATTAAGATCAGCGGAGGCATTAGATCCTTTTTGTATGAAATAGGGAAAACCGTAGAAGTACTTGGTTCTGAAACACCCTTTTACTGATCCAGCTTCATTAATCCTCTGGGGTTCTGTGAAGCACTTTTCTTCTTTGCTTTCCTTTTAGAGTTCTCCACACAGCTATGAGGGAAAAAGATTTGAGAATTAAGGAGGATCTAAACTGATGAGCTTTTTTTTCTTCAGGGAATCAAGTATTCAGTAATTCTTCGGAGTGTTTTGTGATGATTTTGATCTGAAGATGCAAAAGAGAGTCAAGTAGAAGCAGTGAGCAATATTGAATGACATTCTTGAGAACAAACATGAAGTGGGAATGCTGAAAACAAGCTGGCTTCATGTTTGAATCATCTTTTTTGTAGGTTCATTTCAGCTATCTGCTGATTTGTTTTTTCACAAATGTTTCCAGTAAGTTAACGAGTCAAAAAAATAAAGCTATCGCCCCTTTTTTCACTTCCATACGTGGTCTTATAATGAGAGAAAGAAATCCTGTCCTCTGATGAGGAGGGATGGGCAGTGGGGGGAATGCATCTGGATGTTGGTGTTCTGGTGCTCATCTTCTCTCTGTTTCTACTGTTTGCAGGTTCTGTCATCCGTGATGGCGTCAGCTCTACCTAGAACCCTTGGGGAGTTGCAGCTCTATCGAATACTACAAAAAGCAAATCTCTTATTCTACTTCGATGCCTTCATTCAGCAGGGTGGTGATGATGTCCAGCAGCTCTGTGAAGCAGGTGAAGAGGAGTTTTTGGAGATAATGGCTCTGGTAGGCATGGCTAGCAAGCCACTTCATGTCCGAAGGCTGCAGAAGGCTTTGAGGGACTGGGTCACGAACCCTGGTCTTTTTAACCAGCCGCTCACCTCCTTACCAGTCAGCAGCATTCCAATATATAAGCTGCCGGAGGGGTCTCCCGCATGGCTGGGGATATCCTGCAGCAGTTACGAAAGGAACAGCAGCACCAGAGAGCCTCACCTGAAGATTCCAAAATGTGCTGCCACGACGTGCGTGCAGAGTGTGGGTGCAAGCAAATCCGATGTGGTGGGGAGCTTATCGCTGCAGAGTGGCAGTGAACCGAGACTCTGGCAGGGACACCACACCACAGAAAGTGAACATAGTCTTTCCCCGGCTGACCTTGGCTCTCCAGCTTCACCAAAGGAAAACAGTGAGACCCTGGATGCCGCCGCTGCTCTGTCAGTTGCTGAATGCGTAGAACGTATGGTTCCCTCCCTGCCCAAAAGTGACTCGAATGAAGTCAAGGAGTTACTGAAAACAAATAAGAAACTGGCAAAGATGATTGGTCACATCTTTGAGATGAGTGATGAGGACCCTCACAAAGAAGAGGAGATCAGGAAGTACAGTGCAATATATGGCAGATTTGACTCGAAAAGAAAGGATGGCAAGCATCTCACCCTCCACGAGGTAAAACACCTTGAGTGACAGTGGGCTTCCTCCCCTGTTCCTACACCTTTTATGAGCTGCTGTTCAAAGGGTGCACTTTTTGTATGGGCGCTTCTTGCCGGCTGACAAGAGTTGTGTGTCTTACAGGAGCCAAAGGCAGTCCTGCCCTGGGTTAGAAATCTCCGGTGCAGTATAAATACCCTTTCTGGGGTGGGTGTGTGCATGCGTGCACTGATGACTTCAACTTTGTGTCATCAGACTGCTCGGTCACTGGTGTGGCCTGTCAGACAAAGGGTTTAAACTGAGATAGCGAATGAGTATTGCGCTGAGCATGACCCCTGGGATTCTAAGCATTTGGGACATTTTTAAAGTAGTCCTGCCTTGATATTCCCTTGCAGCTTTGAGAGTTGACTGGTTGTTTGGAAGATGAGTAACTAAAATTGCTTGTATCTGGTAACAGGATCACTTGGCTTGGTTACTACCCTCTGCTGTCTTCCCCTTCCTCGAGACCCTGCTTTGTAGCTTGTGCCCTCGAGGTAAAAAGGATTCTGCTGATGAGGTCCCTAAACCTGGTGGGGTGGGAATTTTGTGTTTGAATTGGGATGAAGCTTAATTATACAACCTGTGGGGTTTTTTGGGCACAGTGGTCTTAAGCCAGTCAAATGCGGAGTATGTGAGGAGGAAGGGAAAGGACCATCTCCAGTATTGATGGGTGGCTCTAATTTGAAGGTTTGTCCTTTAATACCTAGGTAGCATCTGTTCCATCTTGTCCTTAGAAGTCCATGTGGGCCTCCTTTGCCTCTCTCCTGGCATTCTTGAGGCTTCACACTGCATATGTTGTAATGCAATAGGTGTGTCTGTGTGGGGAATAGTTCCCTAGTGCCAAAGTACAGTACAAGAGGAGAACAAACATTAATTCAAAGAAGTGCCAAAACACTGTTGATATGAATGCTGCATCAGCATTTTCACAGTTAACAGTGATTGCAAAATTTCAGTTGGATTTAAAATTTGGCATGTAAGGCTTAGCTCCCAAAAGGAAAGGCAATGTTTATGTTACAGGAGTGCCAAAAATACTGTACTGGCTTTAGCCTTTTTTTGCTTCAAGAAGTAGTTTTCTAGGTGTGTGATCCATAGCGTCAGACTAGGTTCTCTTCATGCTTCTGAGTAGAAGGGCAGAAGGAAACAAGGTGTATTTCTTCACATTTTTGTTTATGCATTTAGATTTATAAGGCAACTGTGCATCACCAGCAGTGACTTCACAAGGGCTTTTACTACAAACTGGGGAGACGCTTCAAGGGAACTTGCCAGAGGTCAGCTGCGTTTCTACCACACTTATGTGCTTTTGTGGCTTTACGTTGAACGCTTATAATCTATTAATTCATCCAGTGTGCAAGAACAGATCTCATCTTACTCCCTTGACCTTGCAGAAGTCTCTCCCGTAACAGAACAAGTTGCGTATGAGATGGAGGCAGGATTTGAAAGGATTGATTGTGTAGATGCCCTGTGTATGTTGCTGCAGAGTCAGCATTTGGAGAAAGGGGCTTCTTGCCACCCGAGGATGGAGGCAGTCAAGGTGTACAACGTGTACAGCTCTGCGCTTTTGCAGTCTCTCTCTGGGCTAGCCGGGGGCAGAAGATACTCTGAAATCTGGGCAGACTTCTTGTAGGATAATTTCCTGGCATCCAGCAGTGTACCGGGAGGTGGGTGCCGGGGGCAGCTTTCATGTAGGCTCAGGAGTGGCTCTGTGATTCTGGCTCTTGAAGGAGCAGGGTAGCAAAGAACTGGAAGAAAGGACAACTTCTCTGCCTTGTTAACTGTTGGGTTTTTTTAGTGCTGCACTACAAATTTTTACTACATCATTGTAAAACCATATTCAAAAATGGAATGAGAGCATGGTTTGGCTTTAGGAAATACTTCTATCGCTATTATGATTAAGGGCACGAGATCAAAGGAGTATGTGGTTGACTTATGCCTCACTTACGCATGTGGGGCCTCGCTGAACTTGATGGGAACGGCACACATGCAAGCAAGAAGAATTTGCTCATAATTGGTTTACTGTTTGTTTAAAGAGGCTGGATTTCACAAAGTTCTCTCTTGAACAGTTTTCTCTCTATTTCCATTTTAAAGCAGAAAATACACAAATAGTAGCAATGAGGCCTTTTTTTTTGTTGTTTAAAATCTGCTAAACCAGAGTTTGCCTTTTGTAAACTCAACTTCAATGGATTTTTTTTTTTGGATCGCTTAAACAATTTGCTACTCAGAAGGAAGAACTTTAAACAACCAGGGAGGTAAGTTTCTGCTTGTCCAGAGACTGTGTTTCTGCACGTGTTAATGCATTCCAAGGCTGTCATTCTGCCTCACAATATAAGGTTTCTCCTTGGGGCTGGCAGTGAACAGCTGAATAAACTTCACTATGAATTTAAAAAGCTTAAGTAGTGTTTAGCTGTTTAATGCAAAGATCAGGATATCTCTTGCTGCTCAAGCAGAGTGGAGTTGCATGTAAATTAAATTCAAACGTGGTGGAATTATTAGTGGTGAATTAGTGAGAATATTCTCCGTTTCAGTATGAACACTGGAGTGCCTCAGAGGGGTTGAGCAGCCATTAGAGGCCAGTGAGAGCTGTAGACACTGAGTTGGTTTGGAAGTCTGTGCTGTTAGTAGGATTATCTGTGTAAGGCACTGATCTAGCATAAAATCTGATGCAGAATCTTTTAAACAAAGAGGTTCCAAAACTAATAAACATACCATAATCCATCCCATTGTCTTGGTATTACACAGCTTTTCAAGCACGGAGAGCACTTTATGTTTAATGTCAGACTGGAGGAGGGATGAGTATGAGGCATGCCCTTGAACTCGGTGACCCATGCATGTTTGAGTCAGATCTGTAATTTGTGTGTTAATATTTCAATGCTTGTCTAGCTACCTATAAAACTGAAAAAAATCCTGTTTAATAGTGTGAGAAACAGGAAGAAGAAATGCAAGTAGTAAATTTTGCCTAGCTCGGTCTCTTCCTTTTCTTTTGCTGACTCACCAAAACAGTTGGGCTTGGTATTTAATTACGTGTTTTTAGTGGGGGAATCTATGAACCCCATCAGATGGGAATATACCCATCCCTCTTCATAGAGCCTGGATGGTTATGTGCTGCTCCATATCATTAAGGCTTACAGCAAACAGAATCATTATTTTTATGCATGCAACACTCTCTATCTGCAGTATTATGCCTCCTGAGAAGGCAGGAAGCCATGATGCGCTTCAATTCAGTAAGTCTGAATGTGACCTGAGAGGAGAAACCAGGGAAAACAAACAAAGATACGTTTAGCTTCTGTCATATATTAGGATAAACAGCATTTGCCTGTAACAACCCAAAGCATTTTCAGTCATTTCAGCTCTTTGCAACCTTTCAACGCTTTATTAGAGGGTTAAAAGACATCTCAAATTACTTTGTAAGCATTAGCCATATTATTCCTCCTCTGCAAAGTAATAGCTATCACTGTTACAGAAATTAATGCCTGCTTTGGATGGTAATTCTTTTCATCTGGTGTTGTATTAATCTTTTAGTTTTGTATCTTTTTCCCCCCTGTCTTTTTTTTCTGAAAAGATAGATATTGTAGAGCAACTGTTCCTCCCTAAGGGGTGATAGTTTGTTATTTCAGTACTTTGTATTGTAGGAACATAGTGACCTAGACATGTTTCACAGATTAAACCTAAACTTCCCACCCTTGTACATCTGATCTCTGTGAGATTATTTTTTTGTCGGTAGAGACTGAAGGATCAGGCAACATATCTAGTTCACCTGTTAAAGAAACGTTTGCACTCCAGTTAGCATTCAGGTAGTGCAGGAAATGCCCTACTCAGAGGCTATTGTGCTGAACACAGGAAAAAATGCTTATGAAATATTAGGAACAGCAGCTCTGTGTGAGGTTTTACTAGAAATACTGCATGGACACGCGCCGCTGAGAGAAGCTCAGCTCTTTTGATACACGTTTTTGTTTTTTTCAACCTCCCTGGAGAACAAGTGTCACATTAGTCAAAATGTATTTTTTTTCTAATTTGGATGACATCAAACACTGTGGCGAAGGACAGCATGGTTGCGTGTCGTTCATGTCTTATGACAGCTTCCATCCTTCAGGGCTGGAGCATGTGGTGGCTCGGGCAAGTTGCTGGCCGCTGTGATTTAATTCACAAGTAATGTTCTGCAGTGTGGGAGACAGCAGGGTAAAGGAGCGAGTTTCTTAGCCTTCTCCCAAGAGGCACCCTTCAACTGCAGACCTGCTGGTCTGTCCTCAGCTTCACCTTCTGTCTGCTTCCATGAAAAGCGTGTCTTGTACGAGCAGTGTTTTTGGTGTCTGAGGTCACACATATGCGGTCCTGCCCGTCCTCAGCCACGTAACCCTGTGTGCTGAACCACGGCTGTTCTTTGCGCTGCCAGATGGAGGGGTGGCGATGGCACATCTCCATCCGTCATGAATATGCTGACTGTGCTGTGGACAACCTAGCTGCTTCGTAATATTCACTAGCCCGAGACAGATACGGAACATACTGTTGACAGCAGCAGCAAAGCTTAGGCTGTGCTCATTTGTGGGAAGCCAAGCCCATGCAAAGCAGCTTAATTTCTAGAAATAAAGAGTAGAAGAGTTGTGGGCACTTCGGAAAAAACACCGGTAGTATTCTGTCAGCCTGTTGCCATTACACCTCGTTACAAGTGCTGGCTGTCCTTCAGCTGAGGAAGAAGTGAAAAGGTCTCTTCAGCCCCTGCTTACTGTGGAAGGAGCAGGGAATCTCCTCTCCAGCATCTCTGTTTCAGTGTCTCTCGTTGCATTGATGATTTGTTGTTTGTCCATACTGTTGAGCACAGGCTTTTCAGACAGCAGTATTGTTAAGCTGGTATAATTCATGGCAATATCACCACTTCCTATAGGTTTCTGAAGAGCATTGCAAAACTGTTTTGAGCCTTAACTTAAGGCTTCCTCCCCGCCCTGCTCTTTATGAAACTATTGCCAGCAGCAAGGCACTAGAAATATGTCCCAGCAGGCTCAGGAAAACATCCTTAAAACAAGTTACATTTGATTCATGTCTGAAGATAGTCTTCACAAACATGAGGGTGAGAAACATAGCTAAAAAAAGTTTAATCGTTTCTTAAACCATCACCTTCTACAGAATTTATGCTGTATTCACCAGGGAAAGCCATCTGTACCCACACTGTCAGGGTGGGTTTTTTTTTTTTTTCCCAAGTCCTGGGCATATTGCGTTTATAAAAATAGTATTCCCTGTAAACCAGGCTTTGGGAGCCAAACACTGTGAATGTTCAGAGCTACTGTTTTATACTGAGATTTAATTAATTCTGGGATGAGGCACAAGCAGTGCACATTGAGAGAGTCTTACAATACCGTTTTACTTTAAAGGACATTAAATGTACCAACTACATTTATATCTCGCCTCTTCCCAGAGGCTTACCTGGCTTAGTAAGGGTATAAATAAACTGAAGAAATCCTCCAGGGTTTAATACACAGTTATAGCTAATTTTACTTTCAATTGAAATTTTTTATTATTTCAGAAGAACAGGTACTTTTACAAGCACAATGGGTGAAAGTATGCAAAAATCATGAATCCCTGTTTCTGTGTTTAATTTCCAGCTAACAGTTAATGAAGCAGCCGCTCAGCTGTGTGTAAAAGATAACGCGTTGTTGACCAGGAGAGATGAACTCTTCGCACTAGCTCGGCAAATCTCTCGAGAAGTTACATACAAATATACTTACAGGACCACCAAGTAAGGTTTTAATTAATTAAAAAGACCTTTATTTTCAGGGAACTAATCAGTCTGATAACATTTCTTTTGAAGCACTAGAGACACTTTCTCTTGCTCTTTAGCTAGCAAAATGCTCTTCTGAGGAGGGAAGGAAAATGCTGTTTAAGTCACGAAACTTTCAAACTGCTTAGATTTAGCTGTCTTGAATTACCTTTTTATTTGCTCTCTGGTTTTCCAAATTTTGTGATGGTAGTGCGTGTTAAGGCATCTGAGAGGCTGGCATTTCAAGTATTTGAGGCATTTATGTATTTCAAGGTTAATGTAAATAGGCAGAGTAGCCAAAGCTGCTTAATGTATCAATTATTTTTTTTTCTCAATATACAGATTTGGCCTGTTAGTTCCAGGGAATGGAAAAGATAAGGTCATAGGGATTGGCTTACAAACTTGCTTTAAAGGAACTGAAGCTGAATCCCAATTTAAGTTGTTACTGTTCTGTTCAATGACCTGCTCTTATGAAAAAGTAACAAAGGTTTAATAGCTTTTAAATCCTATTAAAACTTTAGAATTCATAAATACAATTGAAGGTCTATATATTGCTTTCAAATGCTAACTCTCTCGTGTGTAGTGTGATACCCTTTCCAAATACATTTTCCTACGCTTCTAAGAGCTTTTTATGGTTTTCCCTTGCTCTCCTTTCTTCCATAGTGATTAATGTAAATATACATCCATCCTGGGTAAGCAATGCCAAAGGCATTTCTGTAATTCTCTGTGCTCAGGTTGATTTCCTTTCTGTTTGGCAGAAGACTGTATGAGTCTCTGGACACTCTTGAAAACAGCACAAGGTGCTTGTATTCCCCTATACTTGACATTTACTGCCAAGTCCAAGTGAATTGGAGGCTTTTCCTATGCATCTCACTTACTTTTGCCTGATTATTTTTTTTTCTCGACTCTGTTTTTCATTAATATTTCTGATGATCAGGGTTAATGTGCTCTTTACTGATAGCGTATGTGTCTTCTCTTCTAGATCTAAATGTGGAGAAAGGGATGAGCTGTCACCAAAGAGAATCAAGATAGAGGTACAGTATTGCGACTCCTGCACGGTGACCTATGCAATGCTAAAATTCGCTTTTGTTTTGAAGGGGTCTGTCTTAGGGAAATTTGTCAGAAAAATGTCTGACAGACAGTTGATGGGTGTGAGAGAGAGGGAGGGGGAGAACATCACCACCATCTCTGCAAATGTAGATGCTTGCTGGAGAAACCTGTAGGAGCAGGGGTAAAGAGTAGGATTTGCTTTATGGTAAGTTACTCTGTGTTGTGCACTCTGCATGAGTAGGAGGGGGAGGAATGGGGCCGACTGACTTCCTGTGGTGGAATAAGCTCAAGTGTTATAGGAAATGTCTTTCCATAAGGCCTCCTGCTTTTAAGTAAGTGTGAGGTGGGGTTTGCTTAATTCACTGGAGTCAGCTTTTGATTATGTCTAGAATCCAGAGTTCTGGATGAGGATGGATGGTGGAATACTAGCCATCTCTGACTATGCTATAAATTACCGATCATATTGAAAAGTCAAAATCTAAAACCTGTATATGTCAACACAAATTGTTGTGCCTGTAGATAGTAATTTACAGTTTTTTGTAATTAGTTTTGTGTGAAAAATAAAAAAAAAAAAGGCAGCACATGTATACATGGCTAATGTATACACCTGCACAAGATATTGCTTGGGCAGATGCTGGGAGTTTCTTGTTAAGAGTGCAGGAGCAACATACATATAGTTTACCTTTTTCTTCTGTTACCACTCCTGGAAAGTAAATTTGGAGCCTTTTAAAAAGTCACTTTTAATAAAAATAATACTTAGAATTTTTAAAAATTATTGTTATATATACTATATACCTATAAGAATAGCAGATCTTCCTTTTTAACTTATTTAAACAAGTTACTGTTTCACTGTTAGGTGGCTAATTCGTCCTTAGTGTTGTGGGGTGTTTTTATTGTGCTATCTACACCAAACAGTGTAGGTTACACGTGCATTAGAATGTAAGCTAGGCCTGAGCTAGATTTGTATGTGACACAGGTATGTGATGCATTCTTTAACTTAGAGGAATGTTGCAGCATATTCTGGAATGCGTTTCTGATGTAACTCAATTCTGTGATAAATGATGCACCAAACATAAGGCTTTAATTTTTTTACAGCAGTGCAATGGTTTGTTAGCTGCACAGAGGCTTTTCCTGTGAGGGAAACTGGTGAGAGCAGTTAGTTTTGAAAAGGCAGTTAGGAATAGGTATAGAGGAGTTAATCTTATTTATTCAATTTTTTAAGTTCCATCAGTCTGTGTACAGTTGTAGATTGAGTTCTATATAATATAAAATAGACATGTGTGTTGAGGATTTACTGGTGGCTTTGATGATAAGTCAGTGATGTCATTTAGATGCTTTAGGATTTGCTTGTTCTTTGGACCAGAAAAAAGGGCGGGGGAAAAGCTGCCTTAGATGATTTTATCCACCTTCACCATTATCTGTCTTGACCAACACCTTGCAGGATGGTTGCTTGATTATTCCCCTTTTTGTCCAGTCTAGTCCTAATTTGTAAGAGCTGGTGGGCAGCTGCTGCTCCTTTGCTTGAAATAGTATTTCACTATTGGATTTCAGCATTAGGAAGTTTTTCCTCTATTCAGTAATGATTGATGATGAGCAAGTATCTAAAATGACACACTGCAAGGGAGGTACTTTTTTCCACAGGATCTTCACTGAAAGAAAAAGTACAATTAAAATCCTGAAAAATATAGGGTGAAACTTTAGGGTTTTTGGAGAGCAGGAAATTTGGGCAGCCTTAGGGGACGTGCATTCTCTTATTTTCTGCGTGGGGAAATCTTAAGAGTCTGGAAGGCCTGCTTTCTCTAGCTCAGTAACTCTGAGAGAGGATGTTTACTTGATTTTTCTTTGTATTTAAAATTCCCAGTCATATTTTAAAGTGCTTGTGAAAATTTCATGTCCTCACTGTACAGATGGCTATTTCAGAAACAGGACTTTTTTCCAAAATCTGAACTTGAAAATTAAACGAAATGAAACAATCTTTCATTTGATAGTATGGCATTAATAATTACGAAATGACCAGTGTTGTTACCAGCATAAATGTTTCTTTCCTTACAAGTTTGGGAGTCTTCTAAGGAGTAAACTTTTATTTCAGTGCATTACATTTCTGAGGTATACTGCAAATCATGGACTTTTCTTCAAAGAAATGAAAAAAGATGCAGTATGACACAGTAGATCACACTTACATGTGGGGTTCCGGGTTCCTGGGGCTTGCGTTTTGCACATTTTTGTTTCTGTTTTGGATAAGAATTCCTTACCCTGTTTTTAAAGTTGCAATGCTTCATTGTGGCTTGACTAACTTGCTGTCATGCTAATATTATGCAGAGGATGCGAATATGGGCGATTTTTTTGTTGTTGTAACTAGCGCTGGCTTTTTGCTTTTTTCTTTCTTTCTTTCTTTTTTTTTTTTTTTTTTTTTGGTGAAGGTCATTTTACCTTTCTGTTTTTAAGGCTGAACTCTGTACTTTGATTCTCCATTCCTTTACCCATTAGTCATTAATGTCTCTGCAAAGCGTGGTCTAAAATACTAGTGCTTGGATTTGGAAAGACTTAACACCCTGTTTGGATAGTGTAAAAGATTACTTAAAAAAAAAAAAAGTTAATTTCCTGAGATGTAATAAACACTTTAAAAAAATCTCCAGAGAGACTCTGAAGGTCATCCTCGAGCAGAGCTGTGTGTGCAAGCTGTGACATTGCTATGTTACAGCCACCATTGCAGATTTTTCCTCTTCATGAATATGAAACTCTCACAAGCATTACAAAGAAACAATATGCCATGAATTACATCAAATTACCTGTAAAAGCCTTTCTTCCCCTGCAGGCTCTCCCCCTCTTATTTGTAGAGTGGGTGGGTGAGCAGTGGGAGTGAAGTGTAGAGAGGAGAAGGGAAAAAATTCCAGGCAAATGACAGACTAAAGGTGCGGAGGGAGTGAAGAAGGGAGTGGAGTGAATGGGGATTTGGAAGCAGATCATAAAAAGAAGGGGTTGTAGTTTCTAAATCTGCTCTGGACGCAGAGCAGGACGGGCGAATAGGGGTGGAAATGGCGCATCCTCCCGCTGAGCAAGGACCTCTCCTGCACAGGTGTTGTGGGGCAGGGGTATCCCTTATTTTTGTCATCTTCCGTGACTCAGTGCCAGCACTGCTCAGACGATGAGCTGTTGTGGCACCAGCTCAGGAAGCAAACAAGTCACCGGTATATCGCGCCGAGGTCACGGAGGGGGAGGCTACTCACCGCTGCTGCCGCTTCGCGTTGGGTTCGGAGTCAGTGCGAACAGCCAAGAGAGCAAAGAAAGAGAGTTTTTAAAATATTCTTGCTGCCTGAGGTATAAAGGAATTGTTCTGCGTGTCAGTGTCTGCGTTTAGCGGAACGAGAGGTGTGGGGAGAGCTTGCAAGACTTAATTTCACAAAGCTCAGTGGGAGGCAGGGGGCACAGGCAGGAAGACCTGAGCGGAGGCTGTGAGGAAGCGTCTTCCCTCGGTGCCGGCATGGGTGGAGGGAGAGGAGAGAAAAGGCCCACCTCCACAACTGCTGCCAAGGCTGAAAAGAAAACCAGTCAAAGTGTGGGATTTGTTTTTTCACAAAAACAGCAAAAGCAGTAGAAGGTACTGTTTGCATAGGAAAAATGTCATTAGAGGGAGCAAAAAAGCACATGTGGGACTGAGAACATCTGCTGCACGAAGCCGCTTGAAAAACAACTGAGCAGCAGCATGGCCAGCCCGAAGCGCCGCGCTGCGTGCGGCAGGCCCTCCTGACCGCAGCGGGACGAGGAACCACCAGGCAGACGTGGTGCAGAGCAGGTCGTCGCCTGGCCCGGCCTGCTCCTCGTCAGCCCTTACCGGCGGCGCGCACATGTGGGACTGAGAACATCTGCTGCACGAAGCCGCTTGAAAAACAACTGAGCAGCAGCATGGCCAGCCCGAAGCGCCGCGCTGCGTGCGGCAGGCCCTCCTGACCGCAGCGGGACGAGGAACCACCAGGCAGACGTGGTGCAGAGCAGGTCGTCGCCTGGCCCGCCCTGCTCCTCGTCAGCCCTTACCGGCGGCGCGGTGAGGAGAGCAGCCGGCCCTGGGGAAGGGCCCCGGGAAGATGATCCAGAACTGCATCATCATCCCAGTTATCTGCCTGACTGACGGGTGACAGTCACGGCAGCGGGCAGCAATGGGCAGCCAGGCCTGCTTTTAGGAAACAGCCTTTGGTTTTCTGTTGGAGAGTGATCACAGATGTGTTATAAAGAGCCGCCTTACCTGTTGTGTTGTAAAAATAGGATCCTGAGTGACAGGTTTTTGTGTATTCAGTTTCTCATCTTCCTACACATAATCGTTCTCCTCCCCCAAACAAATTCAGGTCTAACTATAAAAATGGTCAGTGCTCATGGAAATGTGCTGCAAAGCCTTTGTTTCTAGAGGATGAGGTTTTGTGGCAATTTACCTGGTTATGAAATGTGGCATACCTATCGTGTTTATTTTTTCCCTGAGGGAGGATGTTGGGTGGATAAAAGCAATATGCAATGTTCAGACAGATTTTTTTAAATTTTTTTTTTTTTTTTTCCTCCTGAGCACAAAGAATAGCTTTATTGGCATTATGTTGCACTGAGGGTCTGGCCACCTGACGTGGGTCTGACCACCGCCGTGCAGGTCAGTGGGCAGCCTGCCGATGGCACGGGCCTTGTAGTCCTTGCCCTGTGCTTTTTTCTGGAAGATCACTTTTCTTGTTCTTGGGCTGTAACCCATTTGTTCAGCTGTTGACAAAAATGTTATTATACGTTCATGTGCCTCCAGAACCCACAAGGAAAATATACCTATTTCAGTATACTTTTGATACCTGGGTCTACAGATCCTCAGTGACAGATGTCATTGTTTTCAGGTTTGGGTCTGTCTTAAGATCTCCAGCTTCCTCTCACCTTTTAACAGTCACCTATAGTGTGCTTTTGTAAACATTTCTGGATGTTCCTCTGTTTTACATGAGCTTTCCTTTTCTAATGACAAGCAGGATAAATTTCTCATCTTGAAAACCTTTGCTTCAATGATTAATTTATTTTAATGGAGTCTGGCAGGCGTTCACAGGAACTTTATTTGCTTTATTGGTACATATGCAAGCTGCAAAAGAGATAACATGGTGATATTTCATTTTGTGATGCTAGGATAGGTTCTGTGTGAAATAATTTGAATTTGGGGAGGCTTCACTTAGTTTCTCAAGGTTTGTATATCCAGCTGCTGTGCCTTAGTCTCGACTGCATGTGAACTGGATTTCTTAAGAGTCTCCAAAGCTGCTGTATGTAATGACAGAAACCATAGGCCTAAATCTGCCTGGCAAGGCTGAGTGTAAACTAGTTTAATGTCAGTGACAACAGTTGTCTGGATTCACCTGAAGCTGTGAGATGAGATATGATTGTCTGTGTGTGCCGTTTTAGATACATAGCGGTTGTTGTAGAGGGGCTGTGTGTGTTTTGTGCACAAACTTAAATGAAGTGGATAGCACAGATACGTAAATTTCCAGTCCGGCATTTTCACAGGAAAATGTGAAATGTTCAGGAATGTGGTTTTGGTTTTTTTTGTTACTTTCCTTCTGAGTATATGGAGAGGGTAAAGAAAAGTCAATAATATATACCTCTTGGTGTTTGGTTTCTTCTTTTGCTCGATAGGATGGTTATCCTGATTTCCAGGACACAGTCCAGACGCTCTATCAGCAAGACAAAATGC